TTTTTTTCCCCTTTCCTTTTCTCCCGGCTTTTCCTTCACCCAGGGTCCCTTACCGGCCAATATCTCCTCCCATGTCCAGAATGTTTTCCCCACCTGTATCCAGCATGTCTGCTCCTCCTGGCCATGCTGCTTGGTCCGTTGGTGGTGGGATCTTCTGTCATGTTCGTTGTGTAAAGGATCGGACCAAGGTGCAGCGTGGTGTGCGTACATAGTCGTTTATTTTAATAAACACTGACAAAATAACAAAATCCAACAGAACGTGAAGTTCAAGAGGCTAAACATCAAACAAGCCAAACAGAAACAAGATCCCACAACTAAGGTAGGCAACATGGCTGCCTAAGTATGATCCCCAATCAGAGACAACGACCGACAGCTGACTCTGATTGGGAACCATACCCGGCCAACATAAAAATATATAAATTAGATTTCACACCCTGACTAACCCAACTAGAGATCTCAATGTCAGGGCGTGACACACTACGCATGCATGTTTTTTTTTACCACAACCCGACAATCAATTATTACTGTTGGAATGAATATCACTGAATGACCAAAATATTTGAATAAAGTAGGCTAATGCCATTGAAGGAATATATCATATTGTTGCTTACTGAAACTCCCAAAGTCATTCAACCGTTTTAAATACTTTAAAGCAATAGCTGTGTGTGGTCAACTATAATTTCAGCACCGTTATAATTGGGACAACGTTATCGCGCTGCTTTGAGACAAGCGTGGGGACACATCTTGATAAATCAATCAATGTCAGCTTTTTGTTTTCACAGAATCTCCGTTTGGATATTTGGTTACAATTAGGCTGGTAAAATGTTAGCCAAATTGAGGTGTGTTCATGATGATAATCTTTAGTTTAGTTTGCTGATCTAACATTGTTATCAGAACATATATAACAGGTGGATTATTTTGCCCTTCACTCGTGTAGTAGCTTAGGCTATATCCCGACTAAAAGCCCTTGACTTGTCTGATAATCAATCAATGTGATTTTGTTTAACTGAATCTCTGTTTGGTTATTTGATTTCTGTCTGGGCAAATGAGTGGAGGTTGCAGCTCATCTATTCTTGTACTAATATCTGATCAGACACATTTAGTATGCTATAATGTAGCATAAATTAACTATATTCTTTTTGCTATTCTCGAAAACCCTGTGGAGGTTATGAAATATGAAAAGGAGACATAATTTTGAAAATACATTGCTCTTATTTTCTGTGCATATCGTGAAAGAAGATAGTCCCAATTTAACACCCTACGCCTGCTCCCTACTAGGCATATAATCTACCTCATAGAAGTGTAAGGGTTGGTGTGAGGTGTGACCCAGGTGCGGTGCAGGATAGACAGTAGGC